AAGTTTGGTCGGCTAGGGAGTGTGATCGGGAGAAAATGGAGCTTAGAGCAATAATGGAGCTTAGGGGTGGAAGAGGTGAGTCAACAAGGAAGAAGGGGACCCCTTATATAGTGTGGGAAAAGGATCCAACCGTTACCCACCAATCAGCCCGCGGCCAGCGGTACTACCACGCCTGGCCAGCGGTACTACCGCAAGGCCGCGCGGTACTACATCTTGCAACCAAGCGGTACTACCGCACGGCTGTGCGGTACTACCGTACCGACCCACGGTACTGCCGCAACCCCAGCGACAGAAAAGATAAACAGATGCGCAGGAGCTAGGGGCGGTACTTCCGCACGCGCGGTACTACCGCGCCCCCCATGCGGTACTACCGCAAGGCAAAAAACCCCAGCCAGGGGGAAGGGAACTTCCGTGCCTACTTCCGCAAAGAAACGGAAGTAGCAAAAACCCGACACAGTAGTACCGCCGAGGGGCGGTACTACTGCCTGACTGCATAGCGCGGTACTACCGCTCGGCGAAAACGGTACTATCGTGGTAGGTGCGGATGTAAAAAATTACATCCGCCCCTACTACCGCAAAGGGGCGGCACTAGCCTGGTGGGCAGCGGTAGTGCGGCTCCAGGGGAGCGGTACTACCGTGGGCACCTGCGGTATTACCGCGTCACATCGCGGTACTACCTCGGATGCCTACGGTATTACCGTTTTCCTGGGAGCAGTACTACCGCGACCAACCACAGCAGCCAGACAAGGGAGGCAAGAAAACGGAGGAAGCTCTAAGGAAAAAGGAGGGGACAAGAAGGAGACGTGTACGTGATGATTCCACCCAAACCTTTCCAACGCGGACCCCCTCTTAATAGTACGGCTTTCCTACGACTCAAATCCACCAAAAAGAAACGTAGAAAAGACGCCGTCTTCATCAGTCTTCGAGGGACACCCAATCGTCTTGTGCCTAGCAATGAAGTGTCTGGAATACTCAAGGCACACGATTAGTCCGCAAATGCGTTGTCATCAATCATCAAAACATTTAGGGATAAATATGCCCTTACACCTTTTATCTAAAAAAAACTTAAGGTGCAATTTTATTTCTATTTTTCTGTCTATTTTCAAACAAAATACAACACAGATGATCACATATTATTTATGTACTTTTCAAAAAGCCATTCTAACCGGGGCAACTGCTGCTAGCCTTCTACTCCCTCATTTCCGGTTTATAGGGCTCAATTCAAAAATCTCACGAACCAAAATAGATGGTGAGTGGTGGAATACTTTTTGTAATTTGCAAAAACACTCAATTAATGTTCTTGTTTTCCTCAAATATTTATGTTACCAATGTATTAATTGTAATGCATGCATGCATAAAGTGCATGCATTGGTCAATTTTTTTTTAATACTTGCATGCAATTATTTAATGCACCTTGGAATCTGAATTTGTGACGGGGAACAACCAAACTAAGCCTTGTAAAATGAAAAAAACTAAAATTTTAAAATAAGCCTTATAAACCAGAAAGGAGGGAGTACTAAGTGGAGAGTAGTGCCAAGTGCTGGAGGAAGAAGGAAGAGATGGGGGAAGTCGGAGCGGAGGGGACTGGTCCCGGTAAGTGCGGCGGAGTAAGTGAACAACGGAGCAAAAGTAGTTGGCGGGTCCCGGCCACTTTCCTCACATATTATAATACGGGCAGTTTCATAGGCACAATACATCTTATATACAAGACGTGGGCCAGCACTAACACGGATCGCGGAGTGAACAGCCGGTCTAGGATCTGTCGGTACATGATGAAACCGCGCAATATGACTTCGCAGACATATCATGTACTCGAATAGTTTTCCGTGGTTTGCCTTGGCCTTATCATGTATCCGTTAAGTGCCCGTGGGAGACAGAAACATATATCTACGAATCAATAATGGCATATAGCATCTCATAATAATGTTCATTGTTTTATTTTAATATAGCTTAATTATCACTCTTGCCAAGTGGTTCGATCACCACGTAATAATGGAGTAATATATTCTTCATCGTTGTTTTTAGGTACAGGTGTTGTCGTGAACCTGCTTTGAGAGAATATAAGATTGTTAGGCTTTTCAATTGTAAATAAACTTAGCGTGCTTTTTTTTGTCAAGCGACTCCGGGCCGGCAAACCTGTGTTTATGCATCGTAGGCTCATAGCCCCGCTACACGAGCATTTTGTCCTACTATCATGCCTATGGGTGTGTTTGGTTTCTGTCACCAAGTGGAACGGCACGGGTTTGTTCCGTCCCCAGAACCCATTCCTGCGTTTGGATCGTCAATGGAACATGAACCACTCAATTCCAGGGAATGGCATATTCCCTGTTTATGCCGTTCCCAGCGGTCTCTCAAAATCGAGCGGACCACGCGGAACCGCCGGCTCCCACGACCCCCGCTACACAGACCAATGGAGTCGCGGGGCAACCGCAGCAGCAAGAAGCCGCCGCCACCATGGGGCATCCAGCACGCGCTGCCGGGGCGTCGCATCCAGCCCGCCGTCGCACTTGCGAACGCGTCGCCGGGAGTCGCAGTCATGCGGCATCGGGTGCATCGCACCCAGCCGGGCGCCGCGCTTGAGCACGCGCCGCTGGGAGCCGCGGTCATGCGACGTCAGAAACCGCTCGCTGCAGGGGGCGTCGCATCCAGCCGGCCGACGTGGCGGTGTGCAAGGACGCGGGATCCGCCCAGCGTCGGCGTGAGGGACAGGATGGATGGGGTGGGAGGAAGCCTGAGGCGAGCTCAAGCATCCCGACGTCCTCCTCTTCAGCTAGTATGGTCGCCGTGCTTTGGTGGTTGGTGCTTGCTCAAGATAGTGTTGGCGTTGTAGGCAGCAGCACGTTCAGATAAACTGCGCAGTTACTAGTTCAGACTTCAGATTTTCCAGATTCGCTGAAACTTTGGCGTTCTGTCCTAGGAACCATTCCATCCCATCTCATTCTCTTCTATCTAAACACCAAGATGGAATCATTCCATTCCTTAGGAATGGAACGGTTCCATGACATTCCACTTGGTTCTGGAAGCAAACACACCCTAACTAAAGAGCAACATATGTTTCATAAGAGGTTTTGAATCATCACGTCAAAAGAATGACCTTACGGGAGAGGATACCTTCGCCTGTAAATTCATGATGTGTCTCCTCTCCTGCAACTACCATGGGGTTAATTAAACCCAACACAAATTTCACTTTGCACCGTAAAAGAGCTAACACTGGGTGTTGTTGTTGGGTGCGTCTAAATGTCGCCTACTAACATGCGACTCGCCTCCAGTGTTCTATACGGGGCAGCCCCAGCAGCATGAGGCCTTGAGGTGTGTGTTGTTCCAGTGCACAAGCCTCACGTTCGCTTTCGCTCAAAAACAAATGAGCAACACATTAGTCACAATAAAAAAGTTACAATTTTTATCTAAGAAAAACTTAAGGGACAATATTATTTCTATTTTTATGTCTTTTTTCAAACAAAATGCAACACAGATGCTCACATGTTATTTCTATACTTGTAGAAATGCCATTCTGACGAGGCGCAACTGCTGCGAGCCTTTTACCAAGTGGAGAGTAGTGCCAAGTGTGAGAGCACAATGTTTTTATTGCATAGTAATTTTAATCTCCTAGGTCTACTGATCCATTCTGACGAACGAACAAGTGATTACAAATCTACTTTTGATCAATGAAATGCATGCATGTCTACCGTTTTATCGCGTTGACCCTTTTATCTGGAAGATCGGGTATAATATTTTTCAGTTGTAACGCGTTGACCCTTTTATTGAAAAAAGAGAGTATGAGACATGGCAACCAATTGCAATCACGATTAAACTATAATAATAAAATAAAAACAATAAGTTTAGAAACACTATTTAATGCCTCTATCATGTAAAATTGACATTGTGATTGTTATGTGGCTATGTGTGGGGTATTTAGCTAGTACTACCTCTAAGTGATGAATTGATTAATTAATCGATTAATGCTAACCATGGTTATTTTGAGGGCCATTGCCATCCAACGACCTAAAGCTCATCCTCGTAGTCATCGAGGCCATCTCCCAACCTTGTCTGCATGGCCGAGATGACCGGGTCGCACACGCCCTGCAACGGAGAAGAATTCTATGAGACAAGGTCTCACGCGAGACCCATCCTGATGGATGACACGTGGCATTCATAAATCACAAAGCATCCCCCACCCCCACTTAAAATCAGGGGGAGAGAAATTAGATGCTTTGTGATTTGTAAATGCTACTTGTCATCCATCAGGACGGGTCTCACCTGCTAACCATGAGACCTAGTCTTATATATTTTTTTCCTTGCAACTCACTGAGCTTCTTCTCATAGTGCCCCTCCTCGGCCTTGTCTGTGTTTCCATCGAGCCACTTGCTCACCGCCATCACCTCACCCTCCACCTCCCCCCTCTTCTTCTCCTCCAGCTCCATGTCACCAGTAGCGACAAGGGTCTCCTTGATGCTGTGCACGTAGGCCTCCAACCTAGCTTTGCCGTCCCTAGCGAACTCGTCCATTTCACGCATCATAGCGTCGAACTCTTCCTGACTAAACCGACGATGATGAGAACCATAGCTGGTCTTGGCCGTCTTGCCGGAGGCCTTGTCCATCGCCTCGGCGTGGATCGTGCCCGCCTCGTCCACCTCGATGGTCACCTCGATTTCTCGCCTTCCCCAGTTCCATATACTGCGCCCATCATGATTCATGAATGATTCGCGTTACAAATTGACAATATGTATGTATGTGTGATCTCGGAGTAGCTAGGATGTAGGAGGGTGTTAATAGCTAGCTAACCTTGCAGGTGCGATTTCAGAGAGGTCAAGCTGGCAGAGGAGTCTGTTATCCTTGACCTCAGTTCGGTCGCCCTCATACACCTTGATTTTCATGGTGCTCCGCTTGTCCCAGTACGTGGTGATGACATGCGTCCCCTTTGCCGGGTAGCCGGCGTCCCTCCGGATCAGCTCACCATGGCCCCGTCGGCGGCTTCGATGCCGATAGCGGGCTGCGGCACGTCAACTATCCCTGCATATATTTTTTCTTATCAATCGAGAGTCTTAACTGCATCGTCATAAAAATCTTGTCAAGGTGAGGGAGGCGGAACAAGTAACTGTACCAAAAAACATCTTGTCGTTGCAGGGCCGGTCCATACATATTCGGGGACCTGGGGCGGGACGACAAAATGGCGCCCTTGTGTACAAATAAAAATTCAGAATATATTGTATGTCCAAAGCAATTTAGTAAATACAAGCATAGATTGATGGACTTTGAACTAAAACAGCAAGGGAGGTGAAAAAAAACACATGCAGATCTTGTTATTTCTCCTAGCACTTCTGGAAGAAAAGTCGTCAACAACCACATCAGTATTTATTTCATCCAAATTTTCTTTCTCAATGCATAAAGTAGCAATAATATACTGTTTTTCTTTCACTTTCTTTTCTCACTGATAAACATTTTTCAGAAGACATATCACCAAAAAAATTACAGAAAAATAGTCAATACAAGGAGAAAAGCACCTGAACATAGGCATATGGCTTGATGTCGAATTGTCAACGTAGCTTCCCAGATCTGCAAGGCTACAACACTCATTCCCCGTCTCCCCTTCTAATCCCTGGATCCAATGAAGCTTTTTGTTTTGTTTTTGCGCATGGATCCAATGAAGTTTTGAAGAACAGGCCAATAGAGTAAGAACTAGGAAGAGAAGAATTGGAGATGTCAGATGGAGCAATCAGAGGCGGAGTGCCGGGCTATTTAACACTGAATCAAAAGAGTACCTGATTAGGGGAAGGAGGTAGACGTACCATCTCTGATGCGGTGATGCCTCAAGCATCTGCAATCAGATGTGGAACGTTGAGGATGCAAAGAGATATGATTGGGGAGAGGAATAGCATCGTTGGTCTCCATTAATGGATGCACAGAGCAGCGCCTCGAATTTGGAAGTGCACCGGAGCGGCGGCACTGTTCTTTGGGATTGGAGAATTTGGGGAGGAGCCGAGGGGGCGAGGAAACTGGAGACGAGACCGAAGGAGATCGATGGAGCGCTGCAGCACCGTAGCTAAACTAGCTATCGATTCTTTCAGCCCGTGAGTGCTAGCTACATGGTGGGCTTGGGCCTTACTGTATAATATACTACTACTACGTGGGTTGGGGCCCCTACCTCCCAGAGGCCCAGGGCGGTCGTCTCGTCGTCATGGTGTCCGGTCAGATAGCTCCCCTGTACTGCGGCCCCGTAGGCGACGGCCTCGTCAGGGTTGATCCCGTCAACGTTGACGGGCTCCTTGCCGTCGAAGTAGTCCTTGACAAGCTGCCGCACCATGGGGATCCTGCTGCTGCCGCCCATGAGGATGACATCGTCGATGTCTCCCTTCTCCAGCTCGGCGTCCTCCAAGGCCTTGTTCAACGAAGCCATCGTCTTCAAGAAGAGGTCTTGGTTGAGCTCCTCGAACAGCACCCTGGTGAGCGTCTCCGATAGGTCGACGCCATCCAACACCGCCTTGAGCTCCACGAGCACATGGTGTTGGTCGCTCAGCGCCCGTTTGGCGCGCTCGCACTCCCGCAGCAGCCTGTGCATCGCGCGGTCGTCGCCGGTGACGTCCCGGCCGTGCTTCCGCTGGATCAGCTCGACGAAGTAGCCCGCGATTCGCCGGTCGAAGTCGTCACCGCCGAGGTGGGCGTCGCTGCGGCTCGCCATGGTCTCGAACATGCCTTGGTCGAGGGTGAGCACGGCGACGTCGAGCGTGCTGCCGCCGAGGTCGAACACGAGGATGTTCCTCGCGTCGCCCCTATGCTTGTCGAGGCCGTAGGCGATGGCGGCGGTGACGGGCTCCCTTACCAAGCGGAGGACGTCGAGGCCGGCGAGGATGCCGGCCTGCTTGGTAGCGTACAGCTGCGCGCCGGTGTAGTGGGCGGGCAGGGTGAGCACCGCCCGCGTGACCTTCCTGCCCAGGTGGGCCGCCGCCCTGTCCATCATGTCTGCGAACACCGCGGCAGTGATCTCCACGGGCCTGAGCAACCGCACGTCGTCCTCGCCCACCTCCACCCGGACGTACGGCATCCCGTCCCGGTCGACGACGGCGTACGGCAAGGTCTCCACGCCCCGCTGCAGGTCGGCGTCGCTGAACCGCCGTCCCAG